TTAACTGTAGAGGCAGAGCACAGTTTATAGTTAATACTCGCTGCACAGCAGAAAGTCTTAAACCAATGAAGTTACCATCAATAAAGTTTGTATACCATCTCGTCGTAGATAAGTGCGTCTCGTATATGCTACCAGGATCTTACTAAACATATTCTACTGGACTAGCTGTAAAATATCGACATCACACGATAGGTAAATAATGGATTTTACGGCGGAACTGTACTGCAGAAAAATCATGTCAAAAGGTACTGGTTTAAAAAAATTATGTTAAGTGTTATTATTAATCAAATAGTTTGGTTTATTTATGTTGTTTTATTTATTTCTGTGGAATATTACAAATTTATATCTGTACATAAGTTATATTGATAAATATTATAATAAATGCGAGCACTTTCTTGAAGCTTGAAAGTAAGAAATAGTTCTTTTTTATATTTTTTTGGTATGTGGTGTTTTGTTCTTGTTTGTTTTGTATTAACACATACCGTTTTTATTTAAATAAAATAACTCGATTACATTTTTTCAGTTTTATACAGTTTTTTTACAATATTAATAAGTAAATCACTTAACAGTCAAATTTTAAATGTATTAATTTCCTGCTATGCGTTCCAGTTGTACCAACTTATTTCTTGGTAAAATAAAATAAACTACTTTGAAATTAAAATGACAGACATGTCTATCACTGTCAAGAATCTTGTCATTGGACAGACCTTTGAATAAGAAGACTAAGGAAGGAGCATATCAAAAATCTTAGGTACACCGCGATGGGCCTCAAATATGGCCGACTTAAATTCCGGTTTATCAGTGTCGTTCTAATTTTATTTAAAAAATGTAAAACTATGATGTAGGGTAGACGTGGGGTAGACTCAATAATTTGTTGTTTTATTTTACGTTGTGAATAAATGTTGGTAGTTATTAAAATTGTTATAAAAATATATAATTCTAATAAAAATAGATAAGTTATAATAAGTATTTATTAACACAAACATCCGATACGCTACTGAAGCAGGTAAGTCAAATTAACGTATCTAAATTCTTTGACATCTAATCTTTGACAAGTAATAAATAAAAGCTAAAATGCAAAAAAAATATATAATTTAGTTAATTTAAGTAAATTTCATAAATGATCGGTTTACTACACGTATGTATATTATATAGTCACTTACTAGCGAAAAGTTGTTCCATTATTTCACTCAATTTTTGCCGAGATCTACCGCACGCTACACAACCAACTATTTTAGAGTCTTTTTCGATAAATCGCGATAGTGTCACTGTTAATTTAAGTTCTGCCACAATTTCCATCTAGATTTACTACCTTTATACAACTATCAGTAGTAGAATAAATAATAAATAACATAAAATAAGCTCCATAAAGACTGACAAATCCACAAAATTTCAAATCAAATTCAAATGTGTCAAATGAATCGTCAAACAGAACTGTCAAGGATCTCCACCCTAGAGAGCTTTTATGATGCCTTTTCCGCCCACCATGCATGAATACATGGATAGCATTATGCTCCTTCCTTAGTCTTTTTATTCAAAGGGACAGGCTATACATCAATTGAATAAGTCAAATGAATTCCTTCGTATTTGCAAATATCACCGATATTTCCTGGTAAACGATCGTAACATTTCTCTCTCTCCCTCTTTCTGCATTCTCTGAATCTTGCCTGCGCCGCTAAGGCCCCACATCGGCGGCGTTTCTCTTAATCTTGTCTCCGGGCCGGCTATCGCGGTTTAATTTACAGTCGCTAATTGCGGGGATCGGGGCTCCCGCCGTGCGCCCCCCGGCACTACCCGCGCACCGGTGATACATCGATATTTTAGGATAATTGTTTGGGTCACACCCGGCCGCGAAGAGATGCGGCGCCGATAGCGCCTAATAACGCGAGGCCGCCGCGGCTTTTTCGCTAATTATTATGCCGGACCAAGAAGCCGCATCGACGTTGCCAGATGGCTGGAGAAGAGTCTCCCCCAAATCTAATTCTAATTCCAAAATCTACCTTATAGTCCAAGATTCCAGAGCGATCAGACATAACTTATTTTTACAAGGATGAAACCTTAGGCTCCCAATAGTGCTCTCATGTGCTTTGAATACCGGCGTGTATTTGGAACACAATTCCGACCACCCTGTGTATCGGTCTTGGTTTTGGATTGAACAAAAAGCAAGACCAAGTGCAAATGCGACAATGATTAGAATGGTCGAAAGGGAACGGAAACAATACTTAGTGGAAGAATTGTCAGCTCAGGAGCTTGGAACACACTCAAATGTGGAATGAATGATTACCAAGTAAAAAGAAATGAAAGAGCGTTTGCTCATGAGGTAAAAGACCATACCTTATAATCGGTGGTATATTCATGCTTTCAAAAACAAAAACCAAAGCAGCAACAGCAAACAACAAAACTTGTGCAAATAGACTTGTTTATTCTAGTTTTTTTTTGTCGAAGATATAACGACAAATGCTGAAGCTTGGCATCAGTGTATGCAGTACCCCTCGGGCACGTTCGGGATACACCGAGATAAGTCAAAGCGGCAACCGCATTGGTAGAAACAGATAGAGAGATCGCGACGCCACCTGCGAGCGCCGCAAGCAACGAAAAGAGCGCTGCGTGTGAATAGGGCCTTAGGCGCGTCTCGCTCGCGCACAGATTCTATTCACCCGGGTATAAATCACATATATAAAGTCATTCGAGTGACGCATAATACAAAAACAGTGATGTTTTTATCTATGTACCTAGATATATTAAACGGTTTTGGAAATCAAAACTACACTTAAAGTTTCTACCATTTTCTTCCCGTGCTATTAATATATAACAAAAAAAATATACAGCGTGTCCCTGAAATAAGTGCAAGAAATAACTTTGAAAAATCTGTCATAAAATAAGCTCATTAAACATTCAAAAAACAAAAAAAAAGAATCTAAAACAAACCAAACCATACTAAAACCTTTATAGATTCTAAACTGTCTACACAGACGTACCGCATATGGACACAGTCTGAATATTAAGACCCCCATTCCCCTACTTCCGTCCCCTTTTAGAACCCCCTCGCCCAAATTCAGTCTTTATCTGAAATCTTGGAATTTGCCTTTTGGAACGTGAGTGAATCGTCGGGTAAATTGAGGATCTCCGTGCCATTCTAAAATATGGAAATCGTCTAAAATTTCCCCGAAGGAAAACGTATACTGCCGGTATATCGATTTTTCCCGGTAAATTATAGGGATCGCGAGATTTTCCTGGATAAGGGACTCGTCTGGAAAGTCTGGAATAAGTGAAGTTTTCTCTCTGCTGAAAGTTACTGAAAATTATCCTGTAAATGAAACGCGTATTTTGGATGAAAGATATTCTTTATAATATAGATTTGTTCAAAATGGTTCTACTTAGATTTTGTTAGAAATTTTTGAAAATCTTTATTCAAAAATTAGGTTTTAGTCTGAAATCTTATGAACTTTGTGGATAAGTAAATTCGATTCATTTTTGTTGAAGACACGTCAGCGACATTCGACTCACTGATTATCTTTGTCTTTGACAACTGATTGACCGATCGTCTATCTTTCTTTTGGGTATATGTCATTTTTATGTTATAAAATAGAAAATATAAATATACAAATTAGAGAAAATTATATTGTTATTCGAATATTAATTATTTTTTGGATAATATTTGTTAATATATTAATTATTTAAAGAAAAAAATCAAAGGTAAATTGCCTAATAAATGTTTAAAGTGATTAAGTTTTATAATAGTTATTTTTTATTTAAATTTATTATTTAAATAAATTATGTTTTAGAAAAAATGTTGTGGTGGGTTGGCGTTGGTTTCTATGTAATTTGACAAATAAATAAAGCTGTCTCTTTAGTTGTCAGTTTTGAGTCAATATTTTTTAATTCTCTTTCGTGTCGATTGCTGATTGAATTGGAACCAGAAATGGCTCAAAACGAAATAAGTAAATTACCAACAGATATTCGGGCTGAGACGACAAACGCCATATCCAAACTACTTCCATTTAAATCCCGAATAACTTATGAAAAGGAATACAAAAAGTTTCAAAAATGGAAGCAATTAAAAAACGTGCGAGAAGAAATAAAGTTTTTAACCTATCCTTGCTGTTAAAGTATCATTTAATCTACCCTTGCGGTTGAAGTATTATCTTATCTACTATTTTTGATAGATATAAGGCAATTTTAACAGTTGCTATTGAAAAAAATATATATTTCACTGAATAAAATTCCGTTTAAAGAACGATATTGAATGACACATCTCTTGTTTTTGGAAAATCTGGAACATACTTCAGAGGTTTTCATACTTTTAGTGTTGTGGAGTTCTTTTAACATTGACTTTGACAGCTTCACATATTAGCTAACACTTTTATTAGTCATAATGTCTATTTATCCACTAACTTTATCGCACTATAAAAACCAACTTTCAAAAAGACCACAAATCTAAAATATCGTTGGAAATCCAAATCAACTCTTTATTATCATGGGTTAAACAGTATACAATAAGCAAAAAAAGTGGCATTAATTCAAGTTTATAAGATCTAAGGTTTTAGTACTATATTAGTAGACTTTTGAAATTCTTTATGTTCTTCTCTTTCTTGTAATAAGACGATGTTCTGTCAATTGCCTATTTTGTGTCTTCTGTTGATGTTCAGCTGTCATCGGCATCTAGTCCCCATCTGACATTATCAGATAGTCAAGCAGCCTTAAGAGCAATTAACTCAGTAATCATCAATTCGAAGTTGGTCAAAGAATGCCAGGGAATTTGAACAAACTAAGCAAAGAAAATAAAGTACTCACATCAAGGAATAGAATAATGAAGAAGCTAATAACGATCTAGCTAAAAAAGGAGCTAACACTCCACTAACTGGACTAGAACCGTTTTGCATCCCAAGTGGAAACCAACTTACAAGAATTGAAGACAGACTTACAACCAGAACTGAAGAACCTGGAAGACTATTTAATGGAAGAGAACTTTCTACAAAATAAAACACATTTTTTGGCGCAGTCATTTATTCAGTTAAAGCATCAAAACCTTCAGATTAAAATCATCATTATAAACATCTTAGAATCATTTCCAAAAAATCTTCGTACTTAATATTGATACTTCCCGAATAATTCACATCTCTGTTCTTAAATTCATCGGTGAATCGTTGAATCTGAATACAAGTGATGATGTACTGGTCCAAAGCCATCTTCTTAGCCTTCGGGTTGTTTTTGGTGATGAGAAATCTAATGAATTCCGGGGAAAAGTTGATGTCCATTTGCTTCAAGGCGTAGTCTAGCTCGTTTTCATCAAGAAACCCGGATTTATCACGATCGTAAGTGTTGAACGCGTTCAACCATTGACGAATGTAGTAATAGAGAGACTCGAATTCTTTCACGTCGAGACCACCGTTTTTGTCCAAGTCAAATAGTCTGTAAATGACAAAATTTAGAGCTAGATAAAACATAGAGAAAGCCTAATAAAAGCCTTTTATAAAACAATACACTTTTTATTTTTAGCCACGATTTCTCTTAAGGGTAGATAATCAAAGGCCAAAATGATGCTACTCGCAAATTGTTTGTTAACTTTTCCAACTAATTGAAAAATCCTACAACTAATTTTGACGTTTTGAATGCTTACATTGAATTTAGAGGAAACCTACATTAATTGAAACCACTAATTTTGAATTTATGAATGAGTTTTAGTTAATGAGCTTTAGTTAATAAATGTATCATTACCTTACGACAAATTTACAGGATGAATCCGAAAAATGCTTGCCCTGGAACACCTCAAAGGCTTGCTGGAGCTCCTTGGAGGAAATGCGTCCTTCGTTTTTGGTTTCCATGGTTCTGAACCATTTTTCCACAGCTGGATGGACATGATTGCTATCCAGAAGGTGTTTCTTGCGTTCGTGGGCATCTAGGAATAACATCATTAGAATAGAAAGACTTTGAAGAAAGAATAAGAAAAAATAAATATCAAATCAATAAATAAAATAAGATATAAATAAGAAGAATTTGGTTACCTCTGAGAATATCGGACAGGAAAATCTTCCTTTTTTCTTCGACAGGGGTATATTTGAAGCCACAGCAAGCCTTTTCAAGTTTTTCATCTACAATAAACATTTAAAGAAACCAGTGATATAATATAAACAAAAAAAAATATTTAAATAGTCTTTTTGTTACCATCTTCGTCCTCGTTTTTTGATCTGTACTGCGCCATATTTTTTTAAACTGCAAATTTTTACTTTAATGGAAATCTGAATGACAGTGACACCGAAACTTTTTTTTGAATTATTACGCTATATTGTGACGTAATGACAGTTGCTGTCATTTAGAAACAGGTGACAATGTCAAAGGAACTTACAATAATAAGGTAAGATTGATCAATACACAATTTTACAAATTTTAAAATTGTGTTTGGTCGCTACATTAAAAAATGATACCAGCAGAAAAAAAAGAGGTGTCAATAAAAATAAGATGTTTCCTCTGGGTAACGGTAAGTAGCTCAACGACCAGTGAGGCCTCTACGGATAGAGCTAGTGGACATCTATATTCGCTCTATTTAAACTGTGTTCCGAAAATGAATAGTTTCCGAGATATTTAATTTGAAAGATTTCGATTTTCGATTTTCTGGATATACCCCTTTGAAATATTTTTTTATTTATTAACTTTTTCTACTTTTTTTACCTGATACGGTCAGAAGACGTTAATGTAGGAATTCTAAATACAATTTGACCCCCTTTTTAGGATATATTGTATTTTAAAAAAATTGCCGAAAATTGAAAAATCGGTTTTTATTTTTTTTTCTCACCTTGTATATACTTTTTTGACAAACTGTGTATACTAAAAATTTAACTAATCAATCTACATCAATCCACGCCCAAAAATTTACAAGAAGGAGAAGAATGTTTATGTTTTATCACAGATTACATGTTTTCAACACATTCAACCTTTTTCTAGTGTTTTAAAAAAGCAATCTATACTAATATATAAAATCCGATCCTGCTCAAACCACACAACGTAAGAAGCTCAATTTTGGCATACAGGTTGATTCTAGGATGTCGAGGTTCGATAAGAAGGGATTTTTCGAAATTCCAGTTCCAAGAGGGTGAAACCACCCCTCAAATATTACAATATTTTTATTTAATAAACGGTCAAGTTTCCGAAAAAACGCTTAAACGCGTATATTTTATTTTGTTTTTTTACATATTTTAAGATTTTTTAAAAATGCATACAGGGTGTTTGGAAAAATCTGGTCATTGATTAATCACGATCCTGCTTTGAAGCTTTAGCGCTTGACGTAAAAAGCTGATTTTTGGAAAACAGATTGACTTTAGGGTGTAGAGGTTCGATAAGAAGGGATTTATCGAAACTCGAATTCTAAGGGGGTGAAACTATCCCTTAAATATTAAAATATTTTTTATTTAAAAACCGGTGAGTTTTTCGAAAAAACTCTTAAACACGTATATTTTATTTTGTTGTTTTACATATTTTAAGATTTTTTTATAAATTTATACAGGGTGTTTCATAAAATATGACCATTGAGTAATCACGATTCTACTTAAACTGCTTGACGTTTAAAGCTGATTTTTGGCAAACGGATTGACTGTGGGTAGAAGTTCGATAAGGAGGGGTTTCTCGAATTTCAAATTCCAAGAGGGTGAAAACGCCTCTCAAATATTACAATATTTGTTATTTAAAAAACGGTTAGTCTTTCGGAAAAACGCTTGGACACGCATAATTTATTTTGTTTTTTTACATATTTTGAAATTTTCTAAGAAATCATACAGGGTGTTTCAAAAATTTGGATAATTGATTAACCACGATTCTGTTTAAACTGCTTGACGTAAAAAGTTTATTTTTGGCAAACGGATTTTTCGAAAGTCAAATTTCAACGAGATGAAACTACCCCTCAAATATTACCAAGTTATATAATAATATCGCCATATTGTTTTTTCTCATGCTGACATAAATGTGAGAAAATTTTATCCAGTTTGTATGTTAATGGAAATTCTTGCTTTGCTTTATCATCACCATTACAAATGATTAATTCGACGCGAACGTAGTCGCTGGTATAAGCTAGTCTTTCTTATATTCAGCTTGTTTTTCATATTATACTCCTTCAAGAAATCTCGTAGTAAACTTATCAATAATTATTTCCACAATTCCTTCACTACAACTTTCTATAAATTGCCTAACGAACCTTCCCCTCATTCCCCAACGTGCCTCCCCTTTATTTATTCACCCCCAACCCCCCAACTAGACCCCACAGTCCGAGACCGCGGCGAATGTCAATGATTGCACGTCCAATTACACCCTGAAGATCATGTTTACATAAGTAATCTCTCTGGGGGTTGGGGTGGCATGAAATAGAAAGGAGGGGGTAGTTTAAACCCCAACGTGGCGGAATTAAGCGTTAGCAAAGCCGCAATGAAAGGGTGGAGGGACGTAGGGGAGAAATAGGGGAGAATTTGTGGTTGTAGTTTAGCAAAAAGAGTTTGAAAGTTATGTCTATATTTTTGAATAAATTATAGATATAATTTCTTGAAAAGATTTTTCTAGAATTGAATATGATTGAGTTTCTTCCATATTATACACCTTTGAAGGCTTAGATGCTTTGATTTTGTGAGAAACTTAATTTTTTGAAGTCTTGTTTTTGATCTAATTTTTGGATATGGTTAAAACATTCCCTATATCCAAAGAATATACCTAGCTAGAAAAAGAATGGACTCTGCCATAATGACAAATGGTCCTACAGAAGTGGCACCATCTATTGAGTAGGGCTTGTTTTAAATGGATCGAAGCGCGGGCTTTTTAAAGGAGCGTATTTATTGAATTTTACTCTAAAATAATTAAATTTGATTATTAAATCTTATTTTTTACACAAATTCAACAATACTAATAACAAGTATCGTTGTGATGTGTAAAAAATAAGATTTAACAGTATAATTTATACAATTATTAAATAGAATTAAAGCCAAACATGTGAAATATTATTTATTATTTAAAGTTTTTATTTATAAGTCAAATATTTAAACATCGTTTATTATAATAAAACAAGACCAACGTAATAAGCCCAAAGTTTTGTAAATGGAGTAAATATAAATAGGTACTTAAATGATGGCAAAAATAAAAGACTTACATTATATTTTTAGGGCCACAAACAAAAGGAATTGTCTAATTAAAACACATATAACAAATTATAGTTTGAAAAACGTTTCGATATTCATTTGATAATATTATGATTGGCTATGACAACGACAATATTTTTTGAGAATTTGACAATAGTATGACAATGACCGTTGGAAACTATGGAAACTACAAAAATATTCTGATTTAGCGCCATCTGGCAATAACGAGTAGCAACTTCTTAACCTAAAAATTAATTGCACTACCACCTAGCGCCTTAGGCTGAAACTATTTTATTTGAAATTTCCATGGAAACGGTGGAACCGCTTTTGCTATTTCACTTTCCCGCCCCTGCCTATATCCATTATTGTTCTCGTAAGACTATACAGTGGTCTATATTTTCTTATTCTATGCTGTTTGATTAGTAAATAACAGCTGTTTTAATAAAATCTGTGACAACTCGCCGAATTTTCACGACTATCTGTATGGAAAAAAGTCGAAAAATGGCCAATCTTTGGCTATTTTTTACACATATTCAAAGCTCTTAGAAGTATAGTAAACATCATTACAGCAAATGTAGGAAATTTTATGCAGATTTATAATATATCCACCTTTGGAGGCTTATGTATCTTAATTTTGTGAGGAAATTATTTTTTTGAACTCTTGTTTTTGATGTAAATTTTTGGATATGACTAAAACGTTTCCTACATCCATTATTGTTCTAGTCGTTGTACTGAGGACACCGAGTTATTTGAAAACCTGAAATAAAAAATGCAGGTACGTATTTAAAAAAATTAAGTTGGTCTCTGTATATCACAAATTATTAGCTAATTTGAAAATCTAAAAATACTATCAGATAGCCCTAATAAAGTGGCTATAAGAATGTGCAATTAATTTTTTATTTTCTAAAAAATAACGACAGAAAAAAATAAAATTGATTTTTCCGGAAAAAAAAGTCTGATGGCATCTTGGTGAACATCCCAAACCGCAACTTTATCCCAATTTAACCATGTCCGTATCTATTACGGTTACTGATATACCAATGCGCGTATCCCGAATTTGTAGCACCCTGTATATAGATTAAGGTCGTGGGACTTGGAAGCTGAATGGCTCCCTCCTATTTTCGACTGTCTCTCTTAATCGAATGGAGCCCGATGATCTAATTAATTCCAATCATGGCCCGCTTTTGTTTGCCCAATATAAAATAATTTGTCATTGTCCTTAAACGATTATTTCCACGAATTCTGATTGATGATGATGGTGGACCTCGCATACAGCGGAAACACATAAATTGTTTTTGTTTTCCTAAATCGTGTTATAAGACACTAACGGTATTTACAAATTATTTTACCCCTCATTTAACTCCAAAAATAATATTTAGAAGAAAATCTGTAGGAAATATATTATAAGAATATATTGCTAGTACCACATTTACACAATGAGTGGAAAGTGAAGCCAAAGAAAAGAAATCTACTCAACGTGTTTATTTTTCGTCAATAATGGCATGTATTGACTACTTCCATTCTAAATATCTTGAGAACGGTTGCTCGTAGCGATTTTTACAAAGAGATATTTTTTACGTAAAAAATTACCGAGATGTATATTTTTTCCCTCGGTAATTTTATACAGGTACGGAGACAAATAATTATTACTCTTCAAAACAGTTAAAACCTTTGAATAAGAAGACTAAGGAAGGAGCATATCAAAAATCTTAGGTACACCGCGATGGGCCTCAAATATGGCCGACTTAAATTCCGGTTTATCAGTGTCGTTCTAATTTTATTTAAAAAATGTAAAACTATGATGTAGGGTAGACGTGGGGTAGACTCAATAATTTGTTGTTTTATTTTACGTTCCCAAGTAGCATTTTCACGACTTGCGACCACATGTTTACTAAACACAACGTTGGATTAGTTACAAAAAATAGTTAGCTCCCTACCTTGGGTATTAAAATAAATTTAAACGTTTTTATAACGTTGTGCCGACGTTGGACTAGTACTACAGCAAAGTAGAAGCTTCTGCGACGTCGAATAAACGTTGTCTTGTAATCTTTTTTGCTTAAGTGATCTTTAGGTGATTCGGACAACGTAATTACAACGTTGGACAATATAGAGTTTTCCGACGTCAGTTTCAGGACCTATTCCAACGTTATGCAAACGTCGTCTGTTT